ATAATAATAATAATAAACACCTAGGTGCTCGTCCCTCATTCAATAGGTCGTGGGTTCGAAACCGGATAGCAATGGAAAATTTTCTTCTCTAAAATGTTCTCTTTTCACATCAATTCCTGCTCTCTAACATTGCTCTGTTGTCTGCTTTCGTTTCCATTGCACTTTCTGCCCCACCCCCTCACCTTCTTTGCCCCATCCTCTGGGCTCCTGGCTGTTCCTGCAGCCTTTCTACTGTTACTCCTTGTCTCCTTCTTACTGCAGTCTTTCAGGTAGACCCCTGATCTTATGGTAGGAAACATCTACACCTAGCCCTCTTGGACAAAGGCGAAAAATCTCGGAGGTCCCGTGTACAAGTTGCGACGTTAAAGATCCCTTGGTGGTCCAAAATCAATAAGATTAGGCTTCGGCCGCCTCCGGCAAAATTCAAAATTTCCTACCTACTGAAATTGTAAATAAATGTGTCCCGCGCGCTCATATGACCTTATGCAGTTGCGAGCGCAGTAAAACATTTAACAACAACAAAAAAACCCACCACACTTCGAAAAAAATAAATTTTAGATATATCTAGATCTAGCAACTGTGCCGTGCCGATTTCCGCTAAACAGCAGTCTATGTGCTCTTTACTATTATATTATTACCCCAGCAGACCTAACTAAAAGCATTCTTAAACAATTTCAACTTTCTGAAATGTTTTAAGTGCAAGCTGTCCTTTTTTCAAGGGCTAAAAATGATCTCTTCTTTATCTCTGTACTGGCGTTTGCAGTGTAGTGGTTAGGCTATTCACTGTTGCGCGCCGAAGACGAGAGTGTCATTTCCCCAATATGGAGAGGATTTTTTCCCCGATATTTCCGTCTTTTTTCCTTTCCTTTTCAAAATATGACTTTTTTCAATTTCTTTCAGAGGAAGCCGAAAGGACTGTCGGGGAACCTGACCTTCGATGACAACGGATTCCGGAGAGACTACAGCCTCGGGGTGTTCTCTATGGCGTTAGACGAGGGAGTACAGCAAATAGGTAAATATTTTCTCTCTCTCTCTCTCTCTCTCTCTCTCTCTCTCTCTCTCTCTTTCTCTCTCTCTCTCTCTCTCTCTCTCTCTCTCTCTCT